GTTTGTTGAGACATGCTTCGTTAACTTAACACTTGCGAGTCAGCTAATAAGAAGAGGTTATCTATTGTACCATTATGCCCCACGGCCTAATGTCCCGTTATGCCCCCAAATGTACCTTTACACTAAATAAATACAAAATATCATTGATAATCAATATCTGTGCAGAAATACTTTACTAAAGTGACTAGAAAAGATTGTTTAATAGCGTAAAATTACTTATGGTAATAAAAAATAGAATTTTATCATTGTTACCTCATGCTGATCTATCAACGAAATTATAAGCGAGTCACGGAGAGTGCAGCGAACGCATTAAAAAATTTATAGCATTTTTCAGTTAAAAATAACATGATATTCATGATCAGTTAAAAATAACTGATAACAGCATGCGATAAGGATCATCTAATAGCAATAATTGCAAAATATTTCAATACATAACAGCACTTCTGTAAAAAGTTATAGATCATATCCCATTATGCCCCGCCGTTCCGTTATACCCCAGGTTCCCCTACATAGTTTTCAGAGTAAATTTTAGTAAACTAGTAAAATATATGGTAAAATTTCAAAAACTCATTAAGTTCTTCAAAGTGCCATGTTGTTCCACGATTACGTGGTTTTCAGAGTAAATTTTGAAGGAAAATTCTCTCCGTGTAGTAGGACATTTCGAGCATCTTATTATTACCGTTGTGAGATAATCGTGATGGTTAAAATCGATTATTCTATAAGAATCAAATTAAAAATTCATATAAGTCGTGTGTTTATGTAAATAATAATGCGAATTTTTTCTTTAATTAAAATTCGGCACAAATGTGATAAACACAAGTTTAAAGGAATAAAAGACTAAGAGCCGTGACAGGGTATTAGTGTCGAAATATTTCATACTTACAAATTTATTGCGAAAAATATTATCTCAGCCAGGGTTTTTTTTAATTATTTAAATCGATTCCAGTATGTAACACTAAAATGAAATAACACCTCGTCGTTACGTTAAATGATTTTCGTTATCGTTGTCGGAATGTCACTGCGACAATGCATTCTATGGTAAACCGAGAGTTTGCAAATCGATTACTTCCTCTTTATTGCGCCAGGTTGTCGCAATAGGAAAAACGTAAGCGCGAGATTTTATTGCACAGGAAACGTGGAAATACTTCACAACAGGCAGTGGGGCAATATATGCGACGACGAATGGGACGACGCCGAGGCCAATGTGGTTTGCAAGCAATTAGGTTTTAACGGTGCAATTAAAGCAACGACTTACAGCCACTTCGGCCAGGCCAGAAGTAAGACGAGATATTTATTGTCTTTTCATCCTAAGTCGCTGTCTTTCACGGTCGAGTCGCGAGATATTGCCGAGACGAGCGAGATCGTTTATAACAAGCCGTTCGTTTACTCCAATTTGCTGGCGGACGCGCGATATATTTTTAGCGTATCGCGTTAATTCGTATCTCTGAAAATCCGTAGCGATAACATCACAGATATTATATTTCCAGTTTTATTTTACACTTAATTTTATTTCGCTCGGCTATTTGTTCAGGCGTGTGCAGTATTATTTTATCGGCCGACGCGATTAATTAAAATACGTAGTGCAAGCGGCCGACTTTTTATTGTACACATGAAAAATGCATCGAAGGAAAATATTGGATGGATAACGTTTACTGCGATGGAGCCGAGGACGAACTCGCGAAATGTCGTTTCGACGGATGGGGCAACAACGACTGCGACAGCAACGAAGCTGCCGGCGTCATTTGCTGGCACGACGAGGAAACGAGAACGTCGCCGCCACGAATCCCGCAAGAGAAGGTCAGAATAAAGGACACGTATCTCCAAGGCACGGCTTTACGATTATCCGGAGGACGCGTACATTCCGAGGGCCGGGTGGAAATTAAATTGGGCAGCGCAGGTAGAGCAAAACATTTCTCCCGAGGATTGTAACGTAATTAGAAGGAACTGTAAAAATTAGACTTAACTACACAGTTGAAAAATTTTTGTTAAATTCAACAGATATCACATGTCCCAAACGGTCCACATAAATTTTTGTGTTAATTTAACATAATATGGATATGGATCACACTAACACTCTGTTAATATTTTAACACAAAATAAATGCAAATCTCAAAATGATTTGAAATAAATTTCGTGTAAAATTAACATATTTTTAATGACAAAATTAATTTTTTGTAATGTAATTTTTACATTTTACGGATGTAATAAGTTAAATAACGGTTCGAAATCACTCTCATTTATGTTATATAGAATAAAATCGACATTTTATTCTGCAAATTTGAACAGATAAATCTTGTTACCAATAATATAGAATATATGTATTGTGTAAGATTACAAAATAAGTACACATTGTGTTGTTTTAACATTCCTTTTTAGTTATTTTAATAATTTTACATTTGAGGTCAATTAACACAAAAGCAATATGTTAAATTAACACGTGAATGTGTTAAACATTTAACGCGAAAATTTTAACCGGCATTTTTTTGACAAGAAAACACAAATTTTCCAACTGTGTATAATTAGTCTATTAAATAATTGTAAGTTTGAGTAGGTACAGGATTTTTAACTTTGTCTGAAAATGCATTTTCAATGTCACGGATATTAATTAAGGTAATAATAACAATTTATATAAATCACACGTATGCGTTTCTTGTGAATTACAGCGTTTTGCCGCGCTGTTAAATTGTCGCCGTAAAAATGCACATATAAATCTGAGCCCTTGTTATTTAAATGATTTTAAACATCAGCGAGCAAACTGCGTTATGTCCGAACTCACTGGATACGCGAAATTCGCGCGGTTTCAGATTGGGGTGACATTTGCGGCGACAGTTGGTCCATGCTCGAGGCCGCCGTGGTTTGCCGTCAATTGGGCCTCGGTTATGCCTTCAGCGCGACGCACACTAATTTCTTTGGCAATGGGGAAACGATATCAATCAGCGGGGTACAGTGCACCGGGACCGAGGGGAATCTGGCAGAATGTTTGCACGACAAGGTTGTGGATTGCCCAGGTACGTCTGACATCTTCGATCGGACGTTTATGAAATATTGGCGCGTTACTGTATCGATTTAAAAGAAATGAAATAACAAAAAGAAATTTAAAAAGTAACAGAAACCCCTTCCACAATTGCTAGAACAATCTGTCAAGTCCGAATTATTCCGTAATCATCGGCGCTACGGCATTTCACCAGCGTATTCTAAAGATTAAGGTATCTGTGTAGAGAAAATATTCCATAAACGGAAAAGAAATAAGAAAAGTTCCGCGAAAGTTTTTTTTTATCAGACTTGCACGAGAAATCAGTTCGGACGTCAGAGGTCAGAAAAGAGAATAATTTATAAGCAGAGTAGATTTTCTGAGCTCAGTTTCTATATAAATCTGTAAAAATGTTGTCTCTTAGTTTTCAACTTCCACACAGCGAGATATATCGAGCGAGTCAGCATTGAGAATTACAGTGAAATCTCTAAAAGAAGAAATATCACGAGAAGGCATACGTTTGGAGCGAGCGCGGAGCTTTAGAGTTTGTCGCGCGAGCACAAAATAACCTTATCGACAATTTTAGGGACAACGAAGAGCGTGGCAGAGGTGGTGTGCCATCAGGAAATGGCCGATCTCGTGTTCGATCACCTCGAGCTGATGCGCACGGCGCACTTGGAGGACCGTCCGCTCGCCTGGCTCTACTGCGCGTCGGAAGAAAATTGTTTGGCTTCGCCGGCCTACCAGATGATACGCGACTCCGACACGAATCTGGAGTCGAGACGACTGTTGCGCTTCACCGCGAGAACCTTCAATGCAGGCACCGCGGATTTCCTACCGCCTGTGCCTAAATACCTATGGGAATGGCACGAGTGTCACCGGTGAGTCAACCGACAATAACGACGGGAGATCAAACGCCGATAGCGGATCGTTATCCGCTCTATTTCTTTCAATGTGTCGATACCCACCGGATATTTTCGGTACGCGAGTACCCGCCCGTTAACCGAATATCAGAAATCGATGAGTTATATAAAGAAGCTTCAAGTTTGCATTCACGTTAAATTATTCGGAACATGGCCATCGATTGTTGGCATCGAGAATCTCTGAGAAAAAAAATAACACCAGACTCCCGAAGTGAGTACAGTGCGACTTAAGATTGATAAGGATTAAATTTGTGAAAAATTCTGACAGGAGAGTCAAACATTTTAATTAGCCTGAAACGTTCAGCGAGGAATTCTATTTCGTGATAAGTGACTTCAATTGAACCTGCCGATTATTTAAAACGTTGGGATTAAATTTGGCAATTACTTTTGCAACGATTAGAGTAAATTTTAGACGCGAGAGAGAAACGTTAATTCTGAGGTAACCGTTTTCCGTTCGCAGACATTTTCACTCGATGGAAGTGTTCGCCATTTTCGATGTAATCGATTCGTACGGCAATAAAGTCGCCGAAGGCCACAAAGCGTCCTTCTGCCTCGAGGACAATCAATGTATGCCCGGCGTCCAACCCAGGTAAAAATCCTGATAACGCGTGATAACGAACGCAGGGTCCCTCTTTTCGCGCGTGCACACGCGACGTGCGTGTGTGTGTGTGTGTAGCTTTATCGTTACTCCTCCTCATACTCCCGATTAAATCCGCCTATTAGTCCAAGTTTCACACAAATTCTGAAATGTCGTTACCGTTTTAGATACAAATGCGTCCAGTACGGAGACCAAGGTATTTCCGTTAATTGCAGTGACATTTACTTGCACAGTCTCGACTGCCAGTGGGTGGATATTTCCGAACTCGAGCCAGGACATTATACTCTCAAGGTACAGTTGTAATAAAGCCATTTTCATAAATATCGAACGAGAGATCTCTCTGGGCGGATTGGCGTGTATCGTGCATTCCAACTCCGTGGAGGATACCGCGATGAAGATTTGCTTTCTTTTCGTCTTCAGGTCGCGGTGAATCCCGATTTCAAAATCGGCGAGATGTCGTACGAGAACAACGCGGCGATCTGCGGTATGCTTTACACGGAAACATCCGTAACTGTTCATAATTGCAAAATGGGACGTCCTTGACACGATGCGCACACGATTGCGGGGATTTTTCTGGCTGGGGACAATCTACGGGGTGAGAGATTTATATCGGCCGCGTTGGCGTTGACTGGACATGACGAACAAGAGGCGACACATTGCGACCTTGCGGTGTATAGATTCGCGAATGAATTTCACAGTTTAGAAACGGAACTTCAATCGGTACGCAAAATGCATCATGAGCATTAAACAATGGTAATCGTTAGAACGAATGGAAAAAAAGCGAGGGGTAAACCGCTGAGGGCATTGTGGTGTACAGATTTGCGGCATTACTGGGTATTACTAGGCATTTTTTGGGCATTATAAAAATAAAATAAGATAAAATAAGATAAAGTAATGTCCACTGGGCATTAGTGGACATTGGTGTACAAGATTTTGGTCAGCGGTTTCCCCCTCGGAAAAAAGTCGCTTTAAAACTGTTACACTAGAATTTAGATTGGTAGATCTGCATTTAGTTGCACGTTCATCGTACTCTTATATTCTTATAAATGTTTTTAACGAAATTATAATTTCAAAGAGAAATCGATATAAAAAATAAAGACAATTTTGAGATGCAGTCTCAACTTTAATTTCCGTTATTTCTAAACTGCTATAATCCCATGTTTGCCTAAAACGCAGAATCTAGAAGCGTATTTTATTTCATTTTGTTACTTAACTGTATATTTTAAAATTAATACATTCATAAGACTCCGATGCGAGATCGCAGATTCGAAGGAATAAATGAATAAGAGCCAAGACAGGTTGTTAAATGTCTAAATAATTTTCATGTTAGGGGAGACCGGGGCTCGTTGTCACAAGAGGCAGATTGGCATTGCGTTCCGTTTATTTATGGCGAAAAGAACAATACAAAAGTTATCGTAAAATATCTCTGTTATAACATAGATACTTTTCCCCAAGTTTTGTTTAAATCAAAATGTTAAATGTTACGATAGAAAAAGCGAAAAATCTAATTCACGAGGTGTCAAAAGTAAATTTTCAAGCATTGAAAATTTTTACATTAATGTCCTCCAATTTGAGAAGTAAATGACGTTACTATTAGTTAAAAGCAAAGTTTTAGCTACTGCACGATATATTATTTTCAATAACAACAATAATTTGTTATTATAAAATGACTGAGATCAATCACATGTAGAGATGGGATACGTTGGCAAGCTAAGCGTCACTTGCGTCACTTGCAGTTACTGTGCGCATGAGACGTGTGTAAATACTGTGAATTATTGAATGGCAGAAACAAAGAAATTGTAAGTAACCTTCTATCTTGCATACGCCTCTTTAAAATGTGTACGAATTAATACATGTAGTCAGTCGATTGTTATAACGGATATAACCATTTATCATTGATTTACTTCATCGAGAAGTACATATCTTTTATTTGTTCTATATTTCTATTACGTTTTTATTAATTTGACGTAGACTTGATAGCCAACTTACGCCACGACATATGTCAATTTACCCCACTTTTGGGTTAAGCTGACTACAATGAAGCGCGTTCGTATTTTGCTTACTACAAAGAAACTGTATAATATACAGAATTACTTTTGGCATGAAAATGTAGAGAAGGGTTCTATCATATTAGTACAGTTTACTCATGATAATTAGTCGTTTAAACAGCCAAATGCCAAAATTGTGAAAGCTATAATGCCAACGAGCCCCGGTCTCCCCTACCGTGTATTTTATATTATACGATGAATTAAATTGTCTTGCTCTACGGACGAAAGCCGTTAGAAAATATATTACGAATTATGCAGAGGATTTAAAAACCGCTTTCGAACCTGGACGTTTGATCGCTTTGATTTTGAATCTTTCATTCCACACTTTTATCACACCGTATATAGCTTTTTGGATTACTCCCCCCCCCCCCCAAACTCACAGACTCGATGCGATTACAATGACAGTCTTTTAAAAAAGGTATCTCTCGTGCCCACGAAATAACCAGTCTCCGCTCTCGGCTCTCTAAACCCTATCGTCTCCATTCACGCGACTTTTCGGATAATTACAGAGCACTGTGGTGCGACCCTAGCCGGGTAATTGCTAATGTGGCTTGGCTATACGTAGAGGTGTCTAGGCCTGTGCGCGCCTAGCGAGAAGCAACCGGCTGTGCAGATCGAAGCTGCCCGACGGCCAGCCACTTCCTCGGCTAGCATGCTGGCCGTGTACGGAATCACAAGTTTCGGAGTCTAGGACCGAATTTATAGACGTCCTCCGGCCACAGAACCGCTCTAGACTCGTCCGTAGCCGCGCGACTCTCGTCTCCGAAAATAGAGAAAAAAAAGGGGGGGGGAAAACTCCTAGAACAATAGGGGCGAAACGCTCGCGCGCTTGATAAAAGTCCGAGGCTGACATTCTTTCGAGGGTCCCGATAACACCCTCCCCGACAGATTGCCTAATCTCGCGTGCACGGCAACGTTAATTATGACCCCTAGGAAAATGACTATCGTATCGGGGATACAGGTTCGCCCTAGGCCGGGTCTAGGATAGAGGCGTGCTACGTCACGCTCGGATACTACGCTGGATATTACCACTGGCTACCTGCTACACGCTGGCAGGTGTTCCCACACAGATATTGTACGTCAGCTAGGACGACTACATATTCTCCCTTTCATATACACCGAGTGTCCCGATATTACTCGAACGTGGCTCATAAGTGATTTTCTCGAGGTATTCGTGAAATGGAACGAACAATTGAATTATAATAGAGAATATATTTTCCGTTCCAGTCTCTTACCGCGCCTTGATCTTAAATTTTCAATTCCCCGACTTTAAAAGCCCCTGAACTTTGAAGAATAAATCGAGCTCCTTTTATTTGTGGGATGACCCAGCATTAAGCTTCACGAAGACGAATGCTAATTGAAAAGCTTGCGAACTAGGGGCACTAGAGTAGAAAAAAAATGGCGGTGATTTTTCAGTTCTCGGTTGGAGACTCTTAAAATTTCCACGGCTAAAAGTTCCTTTCGCGGGTCTAACATTTTCTGATTCCGAGCGTGCACACAGAGGTATTACGAGATCATCGTAAAGTGAATAGTTTATATTTTGTTATGTCAAAATATATCACGATGAGATATAAAAGTTTTTCATGAAATATCCAGTTTTCTCACTTCGTATTTTAAACTTATACAGCTTCAAGATTTCTACGTGGCGTCTATCAAGCGACCGCTTGAGAAAGAAAAAAGGAAATACATTTAATATCTCATTGTCAGAGCTGACAGAAGGGTCCGGACGAGAAAGAATATCTTCCCTTCAAGAGATCTCTACCAATTTCTTTCGGAGAAAGTAGACTGTCACGAGGAATATAAAATAATTATAACAGCCGTCATAACATTCTCCCTGCGTTTTAGGCGAATTAAATCCGCGATCGCGAAGGCGCGACGTCGTAAAGCGAGCTCGCGGGAATTAAATTAACTTCGTCCTTACGCCGATTCTCGGTCTTCTCAACGAAAAAACAGCCTGGCAGGTCAGAGAGCGATTAAACCGTCGTTCCGACTCCAATGAAATTAACGCCAAACGCCATTTTTTTAATTATTTGCAAAGTTACGTGGAGCAAAATGACGTTTCGCAGTATCGATCTCGCGAGTGATAATGAAAACAACTACAATGTCTGAAGAAAAACAATAATGTAAAGAATGATTTAACGCCAGTAATTGATTAACCAATGTAGAAAATTGCTTGACGACCGACGGCTGGCAAATTCTAATTAAAGAATAAACACAATAATGATAATTGCATTTATAATTCTTGGAATGTAATGAATTTTTCGAGTATAAATTACGAGGCAAGGCTCAGTGGTGCGTTGACGAAATTCTATCAAATTTCTACTTGAATCTTTTTACGCAACGGCATTAAAAAAGGTCGACTGTCAATTACGTGTCCAACAGCAACGTGACCGATCATATAATTCGCTTAAAAAGAAACACGGGGACAGACAGGAGTACGGCTTCCGCGGAGAATATCGAACGTTACGCAGTGTCGCGGCGACTTTTACCTCGCACGTCGCGGAAAGAGAGAACGCGACGATCATCGCACCTCGGGGGCCACGATTGTTCGGGGAAGAATTTTTCGAAGCGACTAAACCGCGAATAATTTATCAAACGCCGAGGGAGCGAGTTTCAAGTGGCGAAACTTCCCGAGGGGGTGGCAACTCCTCAACAACGTCGTCCGAAGGGCAGCCAGTCGCGTGCACCTCGACGGAAATTATATTCGCGGAGTAGAATTTTTCCAAGCGACAAGATTATCCAAGAGGGACGATCGATATCGAAGTTAAGGCCTCTGAAGCTTTAAGCCCGTAAGCCAAGCGTAAAATAGGCCCTGACGTCCACCGGTAATCACAAAAATTGGAACAGCGAAGGTAAAGCGGGGTGCGCGTGTTTCGTACCGATTGTTAAACGACGAAGTGGCGCTTGTCACGCGACTTAATAAATGCCATCGAAATTAATGTTCGAGAGAGCGGACAGAACCTTCGTAAAGGATGCCCTTCGTGCTAAACGATTCTTTGCGACCTACATAAGGTCACCTAAAATCACAATTGTTAAGTGCTCGTTCCGGCTAATTACATAAGTAGCAGAAATACGTAATACGTAACGCAAATATATAAAATAATGCAAAATGACAGCGAAAAATGCATTTCTTGCATAATTAACTTAATCTTTTCCTTCTCGTTTTAATTTTACTGTAAATTAATAAGTAACAAACTAATGGAAATGTAAATTCTAGAAGCATTACAAATTAATTCAAAGCTATCGGTATAAAGTGGATAATCAAATTAGTTAGGGACTATATTTGACGTACGTTTCACTTGCTAAAGTTCGTACGCGCGTAAATTATTTATGTCTTGATGATAAATTAAACGATGGCGAATGATGTGCTCGTTAAGGCTTCGTTCTTGCTAAGCATCGTTCTGTTAACTTTGAGCACAAGCGAGCAAATACTATGCTCTGAAAACAGCACGTTACTAGAGACCGCGGGAGACGCCATTTTAACCGGTAAGCGATATTCAGCAATATCTCACTCAATTAGATTTAAACAATTTCTGTGCATAATTTATATTTACAGACAAATTCGTTCTCTCTGTATTGCTAATTTTATTAAATAGAATAAAATAAAAATTAGAATATCATCTCGAACAGTGGTGCAATATATGCATAAGTAATTTTTTTTCTTTTTCATTTGTAAATTAATTTTAATTATGCTATAAATCTAAATTGCATACATTTTTCACGCGTAAATAAAACATTTCTCTCTTTCTCCCTCTCTCACTTTGTCCCTTATACTTGTTCATTTTAATCAGTAAGGAGAATTGTAACAAAACTTTTATGCCTTCTTTTTCCGACTATGGACAATTGGACAACAATCATTGGCATTCAATCAGCCTTCGTGGACGCCAATTATGGACAATACTGCAACGTATCATCATTCAAGGGTCTCCAACAAATTTCAACGATACTACACGTAGTACGAACTTTGAATAAATATAACTACATGCCAGGTGTGAAATTGGGTAAGTGAAATAAGCAACTTTTGCGCGTGATCTGTTAATGAGCACCGCGCGACGGCAAGAGAAAAATAAATAAGAAAATGAAAATACCATAAAAATTTACAATCAGTCAAATATAGATTACATTTTGCAAAAAAATTCATTAATTCGATAACTTCAGTTTTCTGAAGAAATAAAGAAGTTCTTACGGGCGTACCTGTGAACCCGAGGGGAAAACCGCTGATCTAATGTCCAATGGGCATTCCTTTGTCTTATTATCTCATTTTATCTTATCTTATCTTTATATTGCCCCAGCAAGGCCTAATGCTCAAACTAATGCCCAAAAAATGCCTAGTATGCCCTCAGCAGTTTCCTTCTCGTTTGCACCATTGACTATTATTGAAAATACAACTGACCAGATATTCAATGATAAATAATTAATTAACTCAAATCAATATCATCACACGTAAAAAACGATATATACA